ACCTCCCGGTACCCTATAGCGTACTGCTATTTTCCCTGGGCAGGAGAATCAGTCACGTGGGGAGGGCGCGGGCGAGCAATCATCACGGTGACAGTGAGCCAGTTTGCCGAGCAATCGTCACACCAGCATCCAGCACGGATGACGAAATCGCGGCAATTACCGACTCGGACCGACAAGCCACCACCGCATCAATTACGGCCCCAGCGGTGATTACGAGAACTGTTAATTGCAGTGCGCATACGGTCCCACGGCAGCCACGTGCTATAAATACTACACTCCTGGTGCCACAATCACCTTTATCTGCTAATGTCTCTGATGATGGATTCGAGTAAGGATCCGAAACGTCAGGCAAATAAATTTCTTGTTCCGGTGATCGCATCTTCATCTTCTGAGATACGTATCTGCTTTTTGTCTCAGATGATGGGTTCGAGTGGGAATCCGAAACGTCAGGCTAATAAACCTCTTGTCCCAGCGATCGTGTTTCCATCTTCACAATTGCTTTCTGGGACTCGTTTCTTCGCTTCCATTGGCAATGATGGCCATCTTCTCCGGGCTGATGGGGGGTCAGTAGTAAGGGCAACGGGAGTCAAACAGCCACACACTTAGCTGGATTTTCGGTTTGGTCGTTCGTGATCGTTGACAAAAAAGACATGGTGAAACTTGTCTTTGGATAACTTCGTCCCGGACTGGATGCTTCGGATTTTTAGTAACTGTCTGCTGATTCGGTATCGGATCTCGATCACAGGCCACTTGCCACGGTGAGCGTTCATCAGCACGGTGGAGAGCGCGTGAAGAAAGAAGCGGGAGTTGAACGCTCATTCCATCGTGACATCATTATTTGGTGGCTGGTTTGAAGTCCAACGCTCCAACCGGCAGGTCGACGGGCCAGTAGTTCAGTGACTTGGGTTTTGAATTTCCAACCAACAGAATAAGAACTCGAGCCTGAGGAGGTAACAAACCTCGGGTTGACCTGGCTGATGGCGGTCAATATGCCCGAAATGACCATTCCAGTCCTCCTTGTCCATGTCGGTATACCGATTCTGTATACATTAGCAGTCGTAGTGAGACTGCTTTCAGGGCTCTTGATCTATCCCTGGATCACAACGCGACCAGGAGGTGCCGTAGTACGATCAGTGGGCGTCCTCTGCCAACTTTCAGAAAACACTAAGTCGGTCAGAATTCGAGATGACCGGGCTTGTTATGTCCGGTCAAACTCGCATACACTGAGCTAAACCTCACCCCTCCCGCAGACAGTAAATGATGTACAACTGATGTCCAACTGCGGATTCATATACAACCAACATGTACGGATTTGGCAGACTTCCCATTCACAGAGCATTTTATATCACTGTTCCATGTAATTTCGCAACAAAAAGATCCTGAAAGATTTCAAGTTCAATGGAAACTGGCATGCCCGTGGCGATTACTGGGGGATCCCCTTTGTCAGAGTTGCTAGTGAAGTCCTCATTTGAATACCACTCGTTGGGTAGACATCACACCTTGGGTAAGGACTTCCTACCGAAAGCAACTGTAAACATTATATCTGCAGTGTATGCAGCCCGGACTGTCTAGCCACCACGCTACATGCGCGTGACAAACGAATGATCAAGGTCATTCACTTCCCGTTCAGACCACAGTTGTGCTGATTGGCCACACTTCAGCCAATGACATCCCTCCTCCTCCCATATACCCAGCCGTGTCTGCAAGATTTGTACTATCTCTAGTTCTAGTACACGTCCTTCTATTTTGCACTTATACGACCGGCGACGCAGCTTAACGAACGTGGTTTAATTACTGCCTACACCGTTATCTTTCTGGCCGAAAAACGCTCCGAAATCCTCAAATGACTGCCGGTTGCAATCGAGAAAGACATTTGAGGATTGTATTGAACTGCTTCCGATGTTGTCGCCCACAATCACACTAGACGTTTCCTCTAAATTGAAACTCCTCCCGACTAATCACGGACAAATGGGACAACAATATTTTGACGTCCTTCATTTACAAGAGGCTACTGATCTCCGAACAGTATTCACAGAGCTCGAGTCAGCGTGGGGGGGAAAGACAACGTCTTCCTACCGGATTAGGATGTGTGGCATGCATGTTAATGTTCATCCGTTTTTTGAAGAAACACGTTTGTTCAACGTGGCCGATTTTTTCGAAAAACCGGGAAAATGTCCTCTGGTGTCTACAGTCTGACCATCGGAGATGATGTTCACGGTAGCAGGAAGGTAATTGTTTTGAAGGAGCTGATGTTTAGGTGAAAACCCAACATCTCTTAACCAGGGAGACACCCACCTCAGGTTCCAAGAATGATATCACTCCAGCGTTTGACGGATTCAACTGCTGAAGGTTTTGTCGTACGCGCTCCTTATTACTGACGATATAAAATGCCTTCTCCCATGACAAATCCCTCTTCTCCGATATGAGATTTTCCCGAGCTCTTTTATCGCGCAAATCAACGGTCAACTGCGGAAGGAGCATTGCGTGCTCGAAGTTGTCTGCCTTGATCTCATTATATATGCAATCCTGAATGGCGAGGGTCAGATTCGTGATAACACAACCGATGCAATGGCCGGATTACAGATTCATCCGACAAAACCCAGAGCGGATTAGGAAGACGTTGCCTTTTCCTCCTCACGCTGACTGTAGCTTTGCGAATGCTGTTCGGAGATCAGTAGCCTCTTGTAGATGAAGGACGTCAAAATATCGTCGTACCAACTCTCCGAGATTGGTCTGGAGGAGTTTTAGTTTAGAGGCAACGTCTAGTGTAATCGTGGGCGACAACATCGGAAGCAGTTCAATACAATCTTTAAATGACCTTCTCCACTGCAACCTCGAGTCATTTGAGGGTTTCGGATCGTTTTTTAGCCAGAAAGATAACGGTGTAGGCCGTAATTAAACCATTTCCGTTTGGCTGCGTCGCCAATGTTAGATATGCAAAACAGGAAGGCGTGTACTGAGAACGGGATATAGTACAATTCTTGTAGACACGGCTGGGTATATGGCAGGGGGGGGGATGTCATAGGCTGACGTTTGGCCAATCAGCACAAAGTAGGTCTGAGTGGGGCTACATGACCTTGATCGTTCGTTTGTCACGTGCATGTGGGGTGATGTTTAGACAATCTGAGCAGCATACACTGCAAACTTAGCCTTGTTGACGTAAAGAATCTTTTTATGCTGACGGTTGCGCCACCTTTGCCAACAGACACAATCACTGTACTGTCATCTGCCATTAGAGCCTGTCTCCACTTGCCATTCGTATTTGCGCACGCCCCTGCGAGCGACCATAGTTTCATTTGGGAAAAAAACTGAAGTGGTTGCCATGGCTAACACAAAACAGGCGCTATAATTACTGGCACTCTAGCAAGACCAGTGTCAAACACCACGTGGACTTGGACGCCCATTACGAAGGTCTGTGAGCCCAGCTCACTGACGTCCGCCCACGACCTAACTACAGTTCATGCTGGGTCATGTAGGATCTCACTGTCTGATCGTCCCTTGCTCCAGGCACGGCGAATCACAGCTGAAACTCTCAGCACCTCCAACATTGGCGCACTGACCTCTACTCCCACGCCGCATCCACGACCGCTAAATCCACCGTCTGCAGTCGCGTTGAATCGCCATCACCCCACCCCTCCCCCCGTCCCAAATCCTACCGTAATTATGTCCTCACCCCTCTCACAGTCCGTTTCCTGCCTGTCAGTGTGTGCCCTGTCGCGCCAACCGGTCTAGTCTGACCATCTCACTTTCTCCTCTGTTCATTTCGTCTGTGGAAGGGTTGGT